AGGGGAGGAAGGAGCCGAGGGGGCGCTGGGGCACTCGCCGCTCGCTGCCTGCTTCGTGCCTTCGCCGCTTCTTCTAGTTCGGCGCTGAGGATGCTTCACCCCGAGCTACACTGACGGCCCGTTTCTGTTTATTTCGAGACAGGATCTCACTGAGTCGCTAAGCTACCCAGGCTGGGTTTGAACTTGTCGCCATCCTGCCTTAGCGCCCCCCAGAGTGCTGGGATTCTAGGCGTGCACCACTGCGACAGCTCGGCTGTAACTTAGGTGTTACCCGGAATTGACCCTTGGGAGATTTTTGTAGCCATTCACAGAAATGTGTGGAAAGATGTTGAATTGGGTGGTCTGAGGCACCTGCACCACATAGTGAGACCAAGTCTCAAAAGGAGGGGCGCTCAGAGAAGAGGAGCCTTTCGTTTTGTTTTGTTTTTTGAGACAGGGTCTCACTGTGTAGATGAGACTGACCTGGAACTCACCGTGTAGCCCAGGCTGGTCTCGAACTCACAGCGATCCTCCTGCCTCAGCCTCCCGAGTGCTGGGATGACAGGAGTGCGCTACCACACTCAACAAGATGAGCCTTTCATGGAGGGGGATGTGGTGGCCAGCCAGCCAGGAGTCAGGGCTCAGGGCTCAGGGGACAGCATCCTGGGGCAAGAGTGAGTCCCAGGAGGCAGGAAGAGTCTGGTGCGCTATTGTGGGAGGAGTGGACAGTGAAGAAGAGGGTATTCTCATCACACAGAGAATATATCAGGCTCCCCTGATCTAGAACATTCTAGATTTCTACGGGCCAATATGGCAGCCATGGCCATTTGAGCCTGAAGATCTCCATGAGGGCAGTGATGGAGAGGGAGGGGGGCTCTGAGCACCTGGAAGCAAGGAGCTGGCATTCCCTGAGGTGGAGGGGAGGAGGGCAGAAGAGTGGTGGGAAGGGGAGAGGAGGAATGGGGCCTCTTCGTTGCCCAGATGAAGAGCATCACTGGGGGCATCTATGGCAGGTTTGTCTTTTACTGCTTTCTGAGCTGGGTGCTGCTAGCAGCCCTGCTTGTACCTAGGGAAACTGAGTTTTGGGAAGAGACTCTCTTCAGCCTTCTGTCCCAGAGTGGCTGCTGGAGTGCCAGTGCTTTCATCTTACTTTTCTCTCCCCATCACGGTAGTTATCAAGCCAGAGGTGCTGCAGAAAGCCACCGTGGAGCTGCTGGACCAGGCCGTGTGCGCCAGACTGTATGGCCACTCCCTTACCGATAGGATGTTATGTGCTGGCTACCTGGATGGAAAGGTGGACTCCTGCCAGGTGAGTGCCCTGTTTCTGCCCCATGGACCCCTGCCTGCGTTTCCTCTGTAGGAAAGAAAAGCACATAAATTCCTCCACCCATCCATCCCTGGGCTTTTGCACTAATTTATTCCCACCCCACCCGCTTTGAGCGTATGCATATTTTTAGTAACAAATCATTTAAAATCCATTCACAAATTTTAGTTTAACATTTTGGTTGTTTTACTGACTGTAAGTCATAATAAGAGTTGTTGTTTTTTTGTTGTTGTTAGAAAGAGCGATGCATAAATACTGAAAAGAAGCAGAAACAGACAAAATCAGTCGTAGTGTTCAGGACTCAGTACAAATCTCTCAGAAGCTGATAGGAATTCGCAGGTGGGAAAAAAACACTAAAAATAAGAACATAGGTGATCCAAAACAATTAAACACAACTGGTTCTATCAAATGCTGTATCTTGTAACAGAGGTATGAATACATTCGTATGACATGGATATACAAAGTGTTTTATGTAACAACTATATAAAATACATGTAATAATAGATACGTTTGAAATCTTCTGGGACAGTTGCAACTGTGCATTTGCTCAACCTAAAGCAAATCTGATACACATTTAGTTTATTTAAATACACCAAGCACTCGGGAGGCTGAGGCAGGAGGATCGCTGTGAGTTCGAAACCAGCCTGGGCTACACGGTGAGTTCCAGGTCAGTCTCAACTACATAGTGAGACCCTGCTTTAAAAACAAAACCAAGGGCCAGGGGCTTGGCTCAGTGGTTCTGCTGCCTGCCCTGCAAGCACAAGGGCCTGAGTACCAGGCAATCCCTGGTACCAAAAACAAACCAAAAAATAAAAAATAAAAAAAAAATAAATACACCATGGCGATTTCTATGATGACAGTGAGATTGAACTGAGTCAGCGATGGATGACAGCAATAGAAAAGGAGAGCAGCGGGGGCATGTCAGTCATGACAAAATATCCCCATGTACCTGCAGGTGGCTGGCTTACAACGCGAGGGGTTTGTATCCTGGTCAAAGTTTGCAACGCAAACAGCTGGAGTTCAGAGTGGTTTTGCCTGCCTGGTGGGCAGGGGGTCTGGGTCGCTCAGTCCAGTTATCTCAGTGGGAGACTTCCAAATGATACAGGGCACCCAGTAATGCAAATACCGGAAGGGAAATATTGTAACTCCCAGCCTGCTAGATATCCAGAACTCGAGTTTGTGTTCTCTCAAATCGAAGAAGGGATTCTAGGAACAGCTGAGGTGAAGAGTAGGAAAAATTGAGAAAAAGATAGGTTTTGTCTAAGAGAGACAGAAGCGGGACAGGAAAGTATGTTTCCCACTCCCCCAGCCCTTTTATCTGTCACTTTGAGGCAACGTCTGAGTGAGTCACTAAGTTGCCCAGGCTGGGCTTGAACTTTCTATCCTCCTGCCCAGTGGGTGGGGAAATGAAGGAAGAGACTCTGCTGCCTGCACTCGTTTCCATAATGAAAGGGAACCTGGAAGGTAATGAAAATTTGTGTTTAAGAATGTGAGCATCAGGCTGGGCATGCGGCGCTCTTCAGGAGGCTGAGGCAGGAGGATCAGCCTGAGCAAATCAGTGAAAACTTGTCTCAAAACAGAAAATAAAAAAGGGCTGGGTGTGGAGCTTGCTGTTCCCCGAGTTCAATCCCCAGTACTACAAAACCAAAAGAACATGGATCCCGGTGAGTTGGGCGTGGGGCAAGGCAGAGGACAGCCAGGCAGGATGAGTGAGGGCAGGTCAAGCAGTTTGGCAGAAAAGCTGCAGCTACCAGTGGGATGGCTGGAGACTCCACTCAGCAGCCACACTGAGAGCCTAAGCAAGTAGTGATATTATCAAAGGTCTACTGGGTTATGGAGGGGAGGGGATGCTTTATTTGGCTCAAGGTTCAGGCTGCCAACTGTAGAGTTAAAAGCTACGTTAGCGATTCCATAGTCGAAACATTTTGGTTTCTTTTCCGCCACAGAGGAGGAAGCTGCGGTCCTGAGATGTGGACAGTCAGCCTGCACTTGCTCTTGAGCTCACATGGAGAGAGGTTCCAGAGGTCTCCGTACGGGGCTCCCTCTGTGACCCTCCAGCCCTGCTGGGGACCTCCGATCTATTCTGAGGGCACCCTTTGTTTCCCAGGGTGACTCAGGAGGCCCCCTGGTCTGTGAGGAGCCCTCGGGCAGGTTCTTCCTGGCAGGCATCGTGAGCTGGGGCATTGGCTGTGCAGAAGCCCGGCGCCCGGGGGTCTATGCCCGGGTCACCAGGCTGCGGGACTGGATCCTGGAGGTCACCAGCACGGCCAGCTCACTTCTGGCCCCCACTGTGGCTCCCAGCCCTGCCACTGCCAGCACCACCAGGTTCACCAGCCCTGATACCCCTGCCAAAGCCACGCCTTCACCCAGCACTACTGCCCTCAACTCTGTCACCGCAGCCGAGACTCAAGGTACCTCCCGGGTGGACAGGTGCAAGCAGGGCTGCAGGGATTTAGTACTGGCTTCCCAGGCACTCGGAGAGATTGGGGGTAGAGTACTTTTTTATTTTGTTTTGTTTTGTGTTTTGGTACCAGGGATTGAACTCAGGACCAGGCAGGTGTGGTGCCGCTTAGCTAAATCCCCAGCCCAGTGATAGATTACTGACGTCTGTCAGGAGGCAATCAGTGAAGGATGCCGATTGATCCCTGATGTCTGGGGCCTGGGGATTTGGCTCAGTGGTTCCACTGCCTGCCTCACAAGTGCAAGGGCCCAAGTTCAATCCCCCTTACCAAAAAAAAAAAAAAAAAAAAAAAAAAAAAAAAAAAAAAAAAAAAAAATCCAGCCTGCCTCACTGATGTCTGTCAGGGGTCACTTAGTGGGAGGGAGTTTGGTGATGGATCATTGATCTCTGTCAGTGAGTACTCAGAGCAAAGTTTATACGTCATTGGCTTTTGGTACAATTATAGATTTGTGTAGCCATCACCACAAGTTCTAGAACATTCTGTCACTCCAAAAGGAAGCCCCATCCCCCAAAGCAGTCACCTGTCCCCTTTCCAGCCCCGGGCCCCCACAGGTCCACTTCCTGTCTCTGTAGTTGCCTGTCCTGTGCATTTCCAGTCCACGGAGCCCCACACTGTGTGTCTTCTGTGTCTGGCATCTCCCACTGAGCATGACATCTCAGGGTCCATCCACACTGTGGCGAGGGTCACAGCCTTACTCTTTTACCTGGCTGTGTAATATTCCAGTGTGTGGGTGGACCTTGCTGTGTGTCCACCTGTGTACACTGGAATCATGTCCACTCTTGTCTGCTCTGAGTTTTGGACATGGGTGTGTGTCTAGTTACTTATTGCTGAGACAAAATACTCAACACCCAGAGTTAGAGGGGAAAGGTTTATTCAGCTCATAGTTTATAGAGGTTTCAGTCTCCAGGCCAGGGCAGCATGGTGGAGGGCGTCGTTAAGGAAAAACAGTTTATAGAAACAGTTTATAGAAGGCAGCAAGCAGCAAGCAAGTGACAAGTGGCAATGGCAGCTTCTTTCTGTCCCTTTATAGTTTAGGCTGCCTCGTGGGTAGCACTCATACCCAGAACTATGCCAAGCCAAGTGATTTAGTGATCACACACCCTCAGTCCCAGCGGCACACACTCCAGATCCAGCCACCTCTGAAAAGCCCCACCTCTGGGCACACGAGGCTTTGGGGACATTGGGTGCGTGGCTGTGTGGATGCGTTTTCCTATCTCGTGGGTCACACGGCTGCTTCTGGTTAACATCCGAGGGGCCCTCGGAGTTTCAGTCCTCACCAAAAACCTTGTTCTCTAAATGCACAGCACACTGCTGCCATCTGATCCTCCCAAGAGAACAGAATGCCCTGTTCTTGCCCAGAGATTGGAGTCAGGTTACTACTGAGAACTGCCTCAGTTTACCACCTGGGTGTGAAGGGTTGGACAAAGACTTATAAGCAAGATGACTTTTTTTTTTTTTTGAGACAGGGTCTCCCTATATAGCTCAAGCTGGCCTTGAACTCATGGTGATCCTCCTGCCTCAGCCTTCCGAGTGCTGGGATGACAGGTGTGCACCAGCACACCTGGTGGGACTTATCACTTTAGCTTTACCTTTTTAACATAAATGTTCCCAAGTGTGTCACCCCCTAATGTGTGACCTCTGAAGCTTCTAGGTTGTTGCTTCCTCTGTGGAATGGGGCGACTTCAGCAAGCAGGCTGTGCTCAGGTGTCCCTAAGTCCCCTCGGGGCTCAGGGCACTGGTTTCTGAGCAGGCACAGACCCCCTGCCATCTTCTTGTCCTCCTGCAGAGTGCGGGGCCAGGCCCGCCATGGGGAAGCCCATCCGCATCGTCGGTGGGACTGGGGCCATGTCTGGGGAGGTGCCCTGGCAGGCCAGCCTGAAGGAAGGGACCAGGCACTTCTGTGGAGCCACCGTGGTGGGCGACCGCTGGCTGCTCTCTGCCGCCCACTGCTTCAACCAGTAAGGCCCCGGAGGGCTTCCTGATCCCCTTCATCACCCACCCCTGCCCATCAGACCCTCACGCATTTGGAAAGTGCCTGCTCTCGAGGGCTCCCGTGTGCTGGGGCTGTCCCGGGCCACTTTCTGTTCCTACACCCAGGAGTCGGAGTGGTTGTAAGCGAGCTAGGACAGTCCTGGCTTTGGAGGACACACAGGGCCTAACCAGGGGATGAGAAGAGGCCTTTCCCACCACGGCGCACCCCTACTCAGGCAGTACTGATTTGTGACATTTAATAAGCTTCAGGGACTCAGAGTGTGGGGAGGCTGAGTTAGAAGGATTACAAATTTAAGCTCAGCCTTAGTGACTTAGTGAAACCCTTTGTCAAAAAAAAGAAAAATGCCTGGGGATGGGATCCAGTGTAAGGCCCTGGGTCCCATCCCCAGTACTGCAATAAACAAACAAGAAAGGAAGGAAGGAGCAGGGGTCCGTGTTACAAGTTCCCTCCCTGGCCCAGGGCCTCCAGCTGGGGACCCTCCCGTCTTCCCAGGAGCAGGGATGTGGGCGGTAGTGGGTGGCGGGCTGAGGCCCTGTCTTGGCAGCACACGGGCGGAGCAGGTGCAGGCCCACCTGGGCACCGCGTCCCTCCTGGGCACTGGCGGGAGCCCCGTGAAGCTGGGCCTGCGGCGGGGGGCCCTCCATCCACGCTACAACCCCGGGACCCTGGACTTTGATGTGGCCGTGCTGGAGCTGGCCAGGCCCCTGGCCTTCAGCAAGTACATCCAGCCCGTCTGCCTCCCACTGGCCATCCAGAAGTTCCCTGTGGGCCGCAAGTGCATGATCTCGGGCTGGGGCAGCACACAGGAAGGGAACGGTAAGCAGCCACCACAACTGAAAGGGTGACAACTTTATTCTGCAGGGCCTGGCCCGGGGAGGAGGGGATGGGCTGCCTTCCCTGAGCCCCAGACCAGCCCCACTGCACAGGGACCTCCGTGGTGACCCAACCACAGGCTATGAACCATTCGCCTCTCATTATGCCAGGGGGAAATGGGTGGCCAAGTCCTTTTTGTTTAAATAAAGTTTTATTGGCACACGGCCCACACACATTCATTTATAGATTGTCCATGGCTGCTCTCCTGTCCTGGTTAATAATGGGGAAAGTGACTGGCTCATAAAGCAACATATTCATGGAAAGAGCTTGCTGACCCTGCACTACACCATTCAGAGACCCCAGCCAAGAGTCAGTGCTCTGTGGAGAGCCCAGAATGGCTTCATATGGGTTACAGGGACTGAGAGGAGACCTCAGGGTGCTGTGGGACGCTGGGATCTGCCTCCTCCTTGTGTGCCTACATGTGTGTCCACAGGGGAGGGATGGCACCTCCTCTCAGGACGGCTAAGAGCCAGTGGGCTCCCTCCTCTCCTGGCAGCCACCAAGCCTGATGTTCTGCAGAGGGCATCCGTGGGCATCGTGGACCAGAAAACCTGCAGCGTGCTCTACAACTTCTCTCTCACCGACCGCATGCTCTGTGCCGGCTTCCTGGAGGGCAGGGTGGACTCTTGCCAGGTGGGCAACACTGGGGGTAGTGGGCGGGGTGTGGAAACCCTGAGGGGGTCCCGCCAGGTGTCTCATCCCTAGGAGACTGGGGCTGGGGGTGCAGCTCGGTGAGCACTTGCCAAGCATGTGCAAGGCCCTGGGCTCTAAGCCCAGCATAAGAAAGAGGAGAGGAGGGACGGAGACGGAGAAAAAAGCTTGGCAACAAATAAATATAATTTCCACCTGGGCATGGAACCCAGGGTCTTTACGCTGAGCTACACTCCCAGCCCTTTTTAATTTTTATTTTAGGCAGGGTCTCACTAAGCTGCTAAGCTGTCCAGGCTGGCCTTACAGTCCTCTTGCCTGAGGCTCCCAGAGTGCTGGGATGACAGGCTCGTGCCTGTGCTATCACCCTACAAAAGCAGGATGACTGAGCCTGGCTCAGAGTGGAGAAGCAGCCGGTGTGGGTCACAGGGGCAGCCTGAGGTCGCAGCCGGTTGGTGCCCTCAGAGAGGCACCCATAGTCCTTATCTTGCAGGGTGACTCGGGGGGCCCCCTGGCCTGTGAGGAGACCCCTGGAGTGTTCTACCTGGCGGGCATCGTGAGCTGGGGCGTTGGCTGTGCCCAGGTCAAGAAGCCTGGTGTGTATGCGCGCATCACCAGGCTGAAGGGCTGGGTCCTGGATGTCATGTCCTTGGGGACCCTACCCACGTCACGCCCATCCACCAGGAGGACGTCAGCCCCCACCGGCCACTCCCCCAGGTCAACCAGCCTCACGGCCCCGGGGGTCACCATCAGCCGGGCGACTGTCCCACCTGTCACCACCACTGTGCCTGCTGTGGGCGCCACCACCAGGGGGCAGACGCCACCTCCTGGTGCCCCAGAGACCAACACGCGCTCCCAGCTGCCAGGTGCCGTGAGAAATGGGGGGCGGGAGGGTGTCGGTGTCCGTGTGAGTCTGTGCGGGCTGCAGTGAGAAATTCACAGCCAGGCGGTGGGATGACTTCTGCTCAGAAGTCTGGAGGGCACAAGTCCAATGTCGGGGAGTCACGGGGCTGGTTCCTGCTGAGACCTCTGCTTGGCTTGCACATGGTGTCCTCTCCCTGTGACCCTCACACAGTTGTCGCAGACTGGCCTGGAACTCTTGAGCCTCCTACCTCAGCCTTCCGGAGTGCTGGGATTACAGGTGTGCACGTCTCTGTGCCTGGCTCTGATTCTTCTCATATAAGGACACCAGAGCCCGGAACAGGGGTACACGTCTGTACTCTCCACACTCTTGGAGGCTGAGGCAAGAGGATTGCAGTATCAAGCCCAGACTGGGTGACGTAAAAAGGGCTGGGGATGTGGCTCAGTGTGAAGGCCCTGGGTCCCATTCTCAGTATGTAAAAGAGAAACAACCCCCGCAAACCCCACAAGCCACATTAGATGAGAGCCTGGCCCTGGCCTCCTTGTACTGTCTCCTCCTTAAAGACCTTATCTCCTAATAGTCACATTCTGAGGCCCTGGTCCTGGGGATTTAGACTTCAATATATAAACCTGCTGGAGGGGTTGGGTGGCTCCATTCATCCCATCCCAGGTCGTGATGGCTACAATCACAGGCATTCAGAGCAAGGCACTTTGCTTCATGGCGATGAAACGCTTTGTCTGGCTGGGCATGGGGGGAGGGCGCTTGGCTGAGGGCTCCCTGTTCAGTCCACCCGCACACTGCCTGCTGCTGGAGCTGGTCCCTGGGACCGCAGGCACCAGTCAGGCTGGAGGGATGTGGACAGAGTGGGTCTTCGCAGTCTTTCTACAGAGGCTATAGGAGCTATACTGTTATTTTAAAACATTTTTATTTGGTGGTATTGGGGATGGAACCCAGGGCCTTTGCGCTGAGCTCCATCCTCAGCTTTTTATTTTTTTGGCACCAGGGATTGAACTCAGGTCCTTGTGTTTGTGAGTCAGGAAGTGGAACCACTGCACTAAATCCCCAGCCCAACCCTTTTTATTTTTTGATACAGGGTCTTGCTAAGTCACTAAGGTGCCCAGGCTGGGCTCAAATTTCTTCTGTCTCAACCTCCCAAAATGCTGGGATGACAGGCGTGCACCAGTAGGTTCTGGGCGTGGGAGCTACTTTTATTAACTAGAGTGACAGGCATCTGCCCTATTTGGAGGCCAGTTTAAAGCCCCCAGTTCCGTGTGGTAGAATGAAGAAATGCACAGGGAGTCTGCAGGCCTAGAGTCAGGGAAGCCCTTAGAGCAGGCGTGGAGATCAGGGTGCAGGCGGCTGGCATTTTCCCAGCACAGGGGCTGAGGCATCTGTGGCATCGACGCTCTGAGGTCACCTGGTATTGGCCCAGGTCCAGATGGGGCAAGAGGCTCCTGGTTTCCTGGGGTCGGTGGGAATATAGGCAAACAGACTATCTGCACCTTTCCATTCTTGAGGGAGGATAGGGGGTTCTCACTAAGTCAGTAGGTTGCCCTGGCTGGGCTTGAGCTTGTGATCCTCCTGCCTCAGCCTCCCAGGGTGCTGGCATAACAGGTGTGTGCCACCACACCCAGCTTGTCTTCACTTGTTTTTGTGGGGCACCTTTGTATTTGCTGAGGCAGAGGCAGGAAGGCATTTCCCACACCTGGTGGGGGCAGTGCAGAGGGATCGCTGGTAAGAACGGTCAGATGGGTTATCAGCCTAATACCGTGTCCCTCCCTGCCGCGAGTGGCAGTGGTGGTCCCTGGAGCCACCCCTTTATGGGGCACAGTGATGTCCTGTGTGCTTGGTACTGGACTCACGGCGGAGGATGGTCACCCCAAGGGTGGCCTGTGTGAAGGTTGAATCCTGGAAGAAGGACGCCGGGTCACAAGGACCCTGGCATCGAGACCTGTGCAGGGTGCCGGCTGAGGTCCTGGGGAAGGAGGACAGTGCCTCCCCCGACAGCACCGCTTCCCGCAGACTGCGGCCTGGCACCTTTTTTCGGGCCGTGGGGAGTGGCCATGGCAGGTGAGCCTGTGGCTGCGGCGCCGGGAGCACCGCTGTGGGGCTGTGCTGGTGGCGGAGAGGTGGCTGCTGTCAGCCGCGCACTGCTTCGATGTGTGAGTCCCCAGGCACGCCCTCGGCCCCCAGCCTGAGGAGCGCTTAGGGTGGGTGTTGGGGAGGGATCGGTTCCCAGGGACACCAGGGCCCCTCTCGGGGCACAAGGTGCCAATGGGCGCTGCCTGCAGGTCGTCTCGGGTGCCCCCGAGGTAGGGAGGAAGCGAGCTGACCACTGTTTCTGTGGTGCGGGCGGGGTGGAGACCCCGGCAAGGCCCCCAGCCGGCTAGGGGTAGGGCGGGGACCCGGAGAGCCAGGTCACCCGCCGACGCTCGTCCCCCCGCAGCTACGGGGACCCGCAGCAGTGGGTCGCCTTCTTGGGCACTCCGTTACTGAGCGGCGCCGAGGGCCAGCTGGAGCGCGTGGCGCGCATCTACAAACACCCGTTCTACAACCTTTACACGCTGGACTACGATGTGGCGCTGCTCGAGCTGGCTGGGCCTGTACGCTGCAGCCGCCTGGTGCACCCCATCTGCCTGCCAGGCCCCGCGCCGCGGCCACCAGAAGGCGCGCGCTGTGTGATCACCGGCTGGGGCTCTGTGCGCGAGGGAGGTAGGGGCGGGGCTCAGCGTGCCAGGGAGGTGAGCGGGGCTCTGGCCTCGGTACCAGGATCTTGTCCCCACCCGCGCCCTCACTGTCCTCAGGCTCCATGGCGCACCAGCTGCAGAAGGCGGCCGTGCGTCTCCTCAGCGAGCAGACTTGCCGTCGTTTCTACCCGGTGCAGATCAGCAGCCGCATGCTGTGCGCCGGCTTCCCCCAGGGCGGCGTGGACAGCTGCTCGGTGAGCGCGGGGTCCAGGACCACAGCAGGGGAGGGGTGTGTGTGGGGATGCCCGGAGCCCAGCAACTGGCTTTGGGGGAAGTTTCACCACGTAACTGTTTATTGGGCGGCCAGCGGCCAGCGGCCAGGTCTCACGGAAGGCTTTTAACCTGGGGTCCTCGGACAAGGATTGGGCAGGGCGGCTTGAGGCCCGGTCCACGAGCGCCCCCTTATGGCCCTAGCGCGGAACCCACTTCCCAGATGGTGAGCAGAGGCTGCAGGGAAGCACTCCCTTGGGTCCCACCTGGAGCGACCGAGGGGTTCTCCAGTCACTCTTCTCCACCCAGGGCTGCTGGGGGAGGGACTGGCCTGAGTGTCCTTTCTCGTCTCTCCCTGCAGGGGGACGCTGGAGGACCGCTGGCCTGCAGGGAGCCTTCTGGCCGTTGGGTGCTAACTGGGGTCACCAGCTGGGGCTACGGCTGTGGCCGGCCCCACTTCCCAGGTGTCTACACTCGGGTGGCGGCCGTGAGAGGCTGGATAAGCCAGCACATCCAGGAGTAACGGCTGCATGGCTGCCCAAAGGACAGCAGGGGCTACAGGACACGCCATGTGCCAGGGTTGTCCAGGGTGAAGGCAGGTGGTGGGGGGCAGCAGGAACGGAGTGCAGTTTGCCTTATTTCCTTATAATAAACACACTTTTGCCTTATCTTGCTGGGTCAGCATCTTCCTGTCTCCGGAAGTAGGGGAAACAGGAAAACAAGACTCCCAAAGGAGGGGATATTACTTAGTTTTTGGTTCAGCGATGGAGTCACATTTCCAAGCGTCTTCCCACTTCATCCCCCTTTTTCAGTATAGGGGATTGAAACTCACCATCTACTCACATCCCTGGTCCTTTTTTATTCTGACATGGGGCCTCGAGATTCTCCTGTTTCAGCCTTCCTGGGGTGACAGGCATGGCTCAAGGCTCCCTTCTGTGTTGGCTGCACATGGCCTATGATCCAGCAGCCCAGGGGCTCCAAGTGGAAAGCCTCATGCCCTCAGAGAAGGCTGGGGCCCATGGATGAGGGGCATCTCCTTCCAGAGACCCCCTCCCCCAGGGAAAGTGCACGGGGTTTCTCCGGCCCTGGCTCAGCAATATTTTGGTCTACCCTCAGGAAGCCACAGCTAAGGTGAGGTCTCTCCCCCTACCTTATGTCCAAACAAGGGTTCTCAGTCCAGGCCGGGAGCTGACCTCGGCACACTAGGGGAGGGGCTGGCAAATCCGGGGCCTACAGGAAGTCCACCTAGCTGCCAGGCTTCGAGAAAGGTCAGGGGACCCAAAGGCCAAGCGGCACTGATTGCAGGCGACACAGTACCAACCGTCCCCTCACAGTCGTGCCATTCTCGTACATCACGGGCGGGCAGCAGGCACGTACTAGTGTCCGCCTCACAAAGTACATTTATGGAACTGGATAGGGGGGTGGCGCGGGATGGACCCCAGGGATGCTCCCACGCCTCCTTGTTACATGTTGGCTCGTTCCCGTTGCAGTCTTGAATTATAGGCGCGGGACACGGTGTTCCAGGCGTCCATGTATCGGTCCATACACATGGCGATGCATTTCTAGGTACGCAGAGGGAGGGATGCGTGGCTCAGTTCGAACCCTTGCGCTCGCTGACAGCCAGCCATGTGCCATGCCGCTCGGGTTGAGAGTGCGCACGCGCAGAGCCTCCCCGCCCCATAGTCCCTCAATCCACACACGCGCAGAAGCCTCGCGGCGCCGTTCCCAGCAGCCTGCGCACGCGTATAACTCGCGCGGCGCCCTTAGCCCACGCGCGCGCAGACGCTAACCCGAGCCGGTCGAGACCCTGTCAAACCCACAAACCCGGACCCCCCCGAGAGATCGTACCTGTTCTGAATTGTCCAGAGAGCCCCCCGGTTTCCCAATGCACTTCCGGAAACACTTGTCGGTCATCCTCTGTGAACACACGCGAGACCTCAGCCATGATGCCTGCCCTCGCCTGGGGTTAACCCGCTGCCTCTCCCCCCATTCCGGCGCACCCCGCACCTGCAGCAGCTCCTGCGCGTTGGCCACGGCAATCTGCACCTTAACCTGCTCCATGATAAGCCCCGGGTCCAGTTTCCCGCTGCCTGAGCCTCCGAAATCGGAGCCGAAGGCACCCTCCATGGCTCCAAAGTCAATCCGACCGCGGGCCAAGCGCGTGGAGCCTGCCGCCCTCAGGTGAGTCGCCCAGAGCACCACGGGAAGCGTAGTCCGGGCTCTTACAAGGCCGCGCGCGCCGCCCGCTGCTGCGGAGGAAGCCCGGCTTCCACAGGTACCATGGGAAACGGAGTCCAGAACTATAATACCCACAAGGCCGCGCGGGGTCTGTGGCGCACGCAACTCGTCCCCGGCAACTCCACGTAGGAAGCTTCCGGGGGCGGGCTTGGGTCCTCCCTGCTCCGCTCCCGGCTCGTAGGTCGCGTACGAACACGGGACCGGTGCGTCTGTACAGCCTAGGGGACTCAGTTGTTCAGGGTAGGTGCGAGCGCCAGGCACTGGTTCCGTCCACGCGCAGGAATGCTTCCCTGCTTTGAGATAAAATTAGAAGCAGGGTTAAAATTGCCGGGCGTGGGGGCGCACGCCTGTAATTCCATGTAGAGAGCATATGTCAGTGTGTTCCCAATGTAGAGAATAATGTCAGTGCGTTCCCAGGAAGGGAGAGTGAAACCCCCCCAAGAGTGACTTAATGTGAAACCTGTGTGTAACCCCCAAGAGTGAAGTGAAGAGTGATATCTAACCCAACAGATTCAGTGAAACCTGATATGTAACCCCCAAGAGTGAAATGTGTGTGCAACCCCGATATCTACTCAAACAGCCCCATGTGTGTGAAGTGATAAAACCCGAACCAGTGCCACAGACCCCCGGTTAGGATGGTATAAAAGAGAGAGCGCAGAAGACCAGCTCGTCCCACTTGGTGACCGATCCAGCTCTATGGCAGCCTGCCAGACGAGATCTCCGATGAGACCTCGGGAGAGACATCGGACGCCTGCTCGGAGTGGACCCCCGGATCGAGGAGGAGGAAACCGGATCAGACACCGCAATCATCAGGAAAGGAGAAACAAAGTCGCGCTCCTCAGACTTGTGCAGGTACAGGGAGTGGCAACTGGCGGGTATGAATTAACATGTTTGATGTGTGACATATATATATAAAAATATATAAAATCTATTTGGTTACTACTATCTCAACCTCCAGTTAGTGCACACTCCTGCTCGCGACATCCCAGCACTCGGGAGGCTGAGGCAGGAGGATCGTTGTGAGTTCGAGACCAGCCTGGGCTACAAAGTGAGTTCCAGGTCAGTCTCAACTACGTAGTAAGACCCTGTCTCAAAAACAAAACAAAAGAAAACAAAAATTAGTAGCAGGATTAAAATCAAAATGTTTATTGAACAAAAGCTTCCACTCAGCTGGTCTTGGTGTCCACACCAGTAATCCCGGCACGAGGGAAGCTGAGGCAGGAGGATCACTGAGAGTTTGAGGCCAGCCTGGACTACAAAGTGAGACACTCTCAACAAAGCAAAACACCTCCAAAAAAAAAACCCAAAAAACCACCAGTTTCCAGTTGTAAAATGTGTATTACAAATAATTGAGTGAGGGGGGGGAACCCCCACAAAACCCACATTTGGCATGCATCTTAAAAACCCCGAACAGACTCCCCAAAGCGATCCATCCAGGCCTGCGTCCCTCGCAGGCCGGGTGGGTGGTGTCCACATAGGGACACGCCTGACTCGGTTCTTCCGTGTTAAGTGGAGCCGCAGCCGTGTCGGGAAGGGTGAATACGAGTCACAGAAGCAGGTGCAGGGTCCCGACCCAGTTGGACCTGGTGGCCACCGGATCGCCCCAGGAAGGCGCCGGAAGAGGCGGAAAGCTGAGCGCGTCCGGACGCTCGGTGACCGACGACCGTCAAGCCCCTCCCCCCCTCCCCCCCAGCAAGGGCACCCGGGGACCCCAGAAGGGTGGAAGGTCTGTAAGACTTGAATAGGCTAAAGTGACTCCATGCTAATAGGCCAGACTGTGCTTCTTCATATGCTAATTGCTACCTTGGTTAACAGCCCGCCCAGGGGCAAATGGTTTGACAAAAGGTGACCCTAGAACATTTCCTGCATAAGATAAGCAATGTGTTTGCAGTCTTGTTCTGTGAATTCCCTGACTCTTTGTTTAGAAAAACCTTATAAAAAGTACCTCAGCCCCTGAGCAGTTGCCTCTCTGAGCCACCTGGCTCCGGGAGTGCCGTCTGGC